TGTGGCAGCTTTAGCGTAAATGCCCAAAGTGCTGCCTTTCTACATAACCAGCTTCCGTTCACTACTAGGGGATCAAAACAGTTACAGAACATGCTCTGTATATCATGGGATGCAGATGCTGTTACAGTCATAAAGCAGCAGCAGGATCTGGCTCAGTTCCTCTGAGTGGGAGGGATTTGGAAGTAGACTTAGATCCACCTGTGTTGCTCTGCAGAGCTGATCCCAGGTATAGCCAGGACAGGGAGTGAAGAAACTTAATGTTAATAGTTTCCTGATAGTCTCAACCTGTTATTCTAGTGACCCTAGGAAGTCAGTTGCTAATTGGAGAGAGAATCTACTAACAGTAATAATAATAAACAGTAATAACAAAAACTTTATGTGCACTTAGATCCACCTGTGTTGCTCTGCAGAGCTGATCCCAGGTATAGCCAGGACAGGGAGTGAAGAATCTAAATGTTAATAGTTTCCTGATAGTCTCAACCTGTTATTCTAGTGACCCTAAGAAGTCAGTTGCTAATTGGAGAGAGAATCTACTAACAGTAATAATAATAAACAGTAATAACAAAAACTTTATGTGCACTTTGGACACACAAGAGTAGACACTCTAATTACTGCTGATTGGTTAAGCACATATCCAGAAACACTGCCTCCTGGAGAAAACACCTTTCACTACATAAATACCCAAATGTCAAATAATATGAATGGGTTTCCAAACACAGATCGAGAACTCTTCTAGTCCTTTGTAACTTTATTTACTGTCTAACAAATGTTTAGTGTCTATTAAATGCATCAAAAGCATAATGTTCAGCAGCAGGATTTTCAACATTATTTTTCGCTTAATGAAGCGCTCTTGGAAAAATAATTTTCCCTAAGTGACCAATCTGTGTGCCAAGAGGAGAAGAATTTCAATGGAGTCAAGCTCATCAGCCAGAGGAGTAGAGAGCAGGGGAACCATTTCAAAGTGCACAAGTTGTTTTAGCTACAACACTAAATGAAGTTGTGTATATAAATCATACTTTATGCAATGTTTTCCAAACTTCCTTTTCAGCGATGGAAATGATAAAGAAAAATGGAAGTTGATAAAGGTTATTTGTGTTAAAACTTGTGTTCCTATTTAAAGCCAAATATGGTTTTTATATTCAGTATAATAGCCAAGACGAGGATTTTGTCCAAAAGTCTACAACAGTAAACTGCATACTGCACCTTTAACCGTATGACCTCCATGCAGTGATCGTCCTTGTTTCTCACATTCTTTTCCCACAGGAGATTCTGCATCAAGTGACATATTTTAATAAGACCAACCATTGCTAATAGCAACAAGTATGTAACAAAACAGTTGATAAATCATTAATCAGTTAAAAATTGCTTTCACCTGAATAAATACATTTAGACTTTCTTCCTTTGCATTTCCTGGTACTTCAAATGTGACTGTAACAATACTCTGTAAAT